AGCCAGGAAAAACAATCCGTGTCTCTACCTTCTCAGGTACTATCCCATCTTCAAGGCTCAAATCCAACTCCAGTATTTTCTCAATCTTTTCTTTAACTCTCTAATTCAGAGGTTTCTCTAAAATTTAAAAGTACTTTGTGTGTGGGGTCATTTAACATGTAATAAATCATTATTTAATTGCATTGTAGTTATTTAATTGTATTGTTTAATACTCAGTATATGTGTTGTCCTGTCTTTTAAAGGAGAAATTTTGTATTAATATGCATCTTCTATGGTGTTTTAGTGAAACTGAATGGTTAGTACACATTTGTGGAAGTGCTGATAAATCTTGGACACAAAAAGGTCCTTGTAATCTATCAACAAAAGCTTAATGAATTTTCAACTTAATTTTCGCATTAATATGGGTAACACTAACAATGTCCTAGCTTAGAGGACTGAAGCTTGTTGAGTTGCCCCATCTAGATTTTTCAGTTTGGCTTGTTTTTAAACATCACATAAATGCGATTGTTTGGTAAGTGTTCTTTGGTGCCTAACTTCACTTAACCTAGCTACATTAAAAATGATTCATCCGGGCCCTCCCTGGTGGCGCAGGGGGTTAAAGCACAGCACTAAGAAGCTAAAGCCACTTCCTCATGAGTTTGATTCCCGCCTTCCCCGGAGGTGAACACATGGCATGGCAGACCTCTCCTGGCCCGCCCACTGCTCCCCTCAGCAGTGTCCCTCGTCGATCTGCCTGTTCTGTTCCCAACTCTGTCTCTGGTGAAACCTCTTGCTGCCCCTGAGACTCTGGCCTGTACCCCAGTTCTGTATGCACAAATAAATCTTAAAATAAAAAAAAAGACTCATCCATGTTATGTATAGTAGCCTGATATTTTTTATTGCTGAGTAGTATTCCATTATATGAATATACTACAATTGTTTATTCATTCTCAGGTCAATATTTGAGTAGCCTCCAGATTTCAACTATTACATATAAAGAGGACAGCATGCTAGAGTGAGAATCTCAGTGAACGTGTTCTAAAAGAATGACAAAAATACTAGCAGCCATTCCATTCTGGGTATTTAGCCAAAGAGAAGAAAAAACACTTATTAATTCCACTTTCATTGCATATTGTGTTTTTTTTAAGTTTTGAGGAGACTCCATACTGTTTTCCATAGTAACTTCACCAATATGCACCCCACCAACAGTGTGTAAGGGCTTCGTTTTCTCCATATCTTCACTAACAGTTGTTATTTGTGGTTGTGTGTGTGTGTGTGTGTATGTGTGTGTATAAGAAGTGGGGTATAGGGCAGAGGTAAGGGGTGAGAGGATTCACCAGAGACCAGAGACAGAGTGGGGAGTAGAACAGGCACTGAAATACACTTCTGAAGGGAGCAGAAGGCAAGACAGGGTGGAGAGGGAGGGAGGGTGTGGGTGGGGCGCTAATGTGCCATGTGGGACAGCTCCCTGGCTGGGGGTCAAACTCATGCTGCAGTGGCTTCTGATAGCTTGAATGTGCTGAGACTTCAACCTCTGAGCCACCAGGAGGCTCCTTGTGTTTTTTGATAACAGGTGTTATGTTCTATTTATTGTGATTCTGTTTTGCATTTCCATGGTGATTAACAGTGTTGAATATTTTCTGTTAGCTATTCAGACTCATTGTCCATTTTCAAACAAATTAGTTTATTTTGGGCCACTGAGTTTTATTAGTGCTTTATATATTTGGGAATATCAAATACATGATTTTAAAATATTTTCTACCATACTGTACCATTGAATTTTATTTTGTTGATGGTTCCCTCTGTTGTGCAGAATCATTTTAACATGTAGTACTACTTCCTTATTTTTACTTTTGCTGCCTTTGTTTTTGCTGCCTTTTCAAATTCAAAAACCAACTGCTAACTGAATTTTCAATTCTGTTTCATTAATCTAAATGTCTGTTCTTCTGCTAGGTCCATATTGTTTTTTTTTTTAAATATTTATTTATTTATTCATACAGAACTGGGGTACAGGCCAGAGATGTGGAGGGTGAGAGGCTTCACCAGAGACAGAGCGGGGAACAGAACAGGCAGATCGACGAAGTACACCGCTGAGGGGAGCAGCGGGCGGGTCAGGAGAGGTCTGCCACGCCATGTGGATCTCCTCCGGGGCAGGCAGGAATCGAACTCATGTGAAAGCGGCCCTAGATTCTCAGTGCTGTGCTCCAACCCGCTGCGCCACCAGGGAGGGCCCGGTCCATATTGTTTTTAACCACTATAGCATTATAGTAAGTTTTTTATTGGGAAGTAAAAGCCCCTCATATTTTCTTCTTTCTTCAAAGTAGTTTGGATTATTCTGAGTCTTTCAATTTTCATATTATTTTTAATATAAGCTTGTAATTTTCTGCAAAATGTTCCTGGAATTCTGAAAAGATGTCCCCTGAATCTATAGATCACTTTGAGAAGAATTGGTATCTTAAAATGGAGGCTTCCAATCCATGAAGAAGATTCTCCCCACTTATTTATATATTTTTTTATTACCCTCATGAATGATTTATAATTTTTGGTGAATAAACCTTGTACTTCTTTTGTTAAATTTATCTTTATATTTTTATCATCATTGGTGTTATTGTAAAAGGTACTTAATTGTATTTTTATTGTATTCACTCATAGCATTTTTTAAAGAAAGATTTATTTATTTATGCATACATAGATGGGGTACAGGCCAGAGTGCAGGGGCGGTGAGAGGATTCACCAGAGACAGTGTGGGGAGCAGAACAGGCAGATCGACAAAAGTACACTGCTAAGTGTAGCAGCGGGAACAGGGATCGAACTTGCACTGAAGTGACTGCTGCACACTTGTGGTGCTGTGCTTTAACCCGCTGCACCACCAGAGAGGGCCTCACTCATACCATTTTAACGATTTGTAAGTGTACAAATAAGTTGTATTCAGTACATTCACAGTGTTGTTCAAACATCTCCAATACCTAACTCCAGCACTTCAACTCTCCATTCTTCATTCCCTGCAGGCTCTGGTAACCTCTATTATACTTTGTGTCTCCATGAATTTTTCTATTTTAGGTACCTAATATAAGTGAAGTCATACAATATTTGTCCTTTAAATTGTGTCCTTTAAATTAGTGCACTTAGCACAATATTTTCAAGTTTCATCCATGTTGTATCAAAACTTCATTCCCTTTTATGACTGAATGATAGTTGTGTGTATATGTGCATGTGACATTTGTATACTCAATCCTCTGTTGATGGACATTGGGTTGTTTCCAAATTTGACTACTGTGAATAATGCTGGTATAGAGTTTGTTGTGCAAATATGTTTGAGTCTGTTTTCAATTCTTTGTGAATATACCTAATAGTGGAATTGATTGATCACACAGTATTTCTATGTGCAGCTTTTTAAGAAAAGGCCAAACTGTAATCCATGGTAGCTGCATAATTTTACATTCCCAGCAGCAATGTACATATGTTGCAGTTTCTCCAAGTTATTACTAAAATGTATTTTTGTCCTGGGGGGGCAGTAAACATTGTAATGCGTATGAAGTAATATCTTATTATAATTTTTATTTTCCTAACAACTATATATGTTGAGCATCTCATTGCACATTTGTATACAATACAAAGTGGATTAAGTTCTACTAGATTGGAAATCAGTTTTGTTTCAATAGAGGTAAGGGCGGAAACAGTCTGAAGGTTTAAAGTGCTTTTGGAGCTGAAGTACACAAAAGCAAAAAGAAAAGCTGCATATTGAAAGAATCTGTAAAGAAACTCAATAAATTATAAACTGTTTTCTACCACAATACAAATTACTATTTACATTTGGGCAAATAAGTCAAAATTATAAAAATTTTCAACTAATAAATAATCAACATTGGAACAATGGGTGAAATGTCACCAATTTTAATAACAACAGAGTATCCCATCTTATGAATACTGGCCAGCTATTTAACCACATCTTTAATACTGAGATTAGACTACTTTCAATAATTTAAAAATGTCAGGCAATATGACGATGGCACATGGGTTAATTGGTGGTGGAAAATCCACGGGGGTTACGACCGAGATGAAAAAATGTTAAAAATCAAGAATGATGTGTGTGTGTGTGTAATATATACATACATATACATATAATATTTTTAAAATGTCAGACAAATTTCTTGATTTTTTAAAAGAAGTATTTCTTTACATTTGAGCATTTCTTTTTAAAATTCCCTATGGCTTTAAAGCCAGTACCAAGAAAGAAGTGGCAAGTCACAATGAGGATTGAATTACCTGTAAGCCACACAACTGATTTATTGTCTGCGTGTTCACATGTCGTACAGTCGCACACAGCATTGGGTTCTTCACCACTGGCTCTTTTACTGTAACCCTCATCTAAACACCACCTCCCCACCCCAGGAGATGCTACTGTTCTCTTATCAGAGAATTTGTACAAAATACAGAAAAACAGAATATACAATAACTGTCAGTCACACCACCTTCAGACCAACATTGCTAAATCTGTAGTGTTTTTCCTTCTAGTCTCTCTTTTCGAGTTCCTCCACCACCTACCGCTCCCCTCCTCAGAGCACAGGGCTTTAATTAAAAGGGACATATTTCAGATGGTGAGAGCCTTGTCTTTCTGCCTTGTCTGACATTTAGTTATTTTCTCTTAGCTCTTTTAAATTATACAAGTACAATATCAGTTGAAATTTGAAAGACTAAATGAGTAAGACCAGGATTTCTAGAAAACTCGGAGACCGCGTATGCGGAGGATGAGTAAGAGGTGGGTGAATCAGCCATATTAGAGAACCTAGGAAGGTGCGCAGAGTTGGAAACTTGATCGATGTAATAATTTATTGGCTTGGGGTCTGTCAATCAGCACATCCTAGCAAATGAAATTAGAGTGGGAGGGAGGGAGTGACGCAACAAGCTATTTGCACCAGAAGATCTAACGGAGAGACTGCTGTGTAATCATATTGCGGCACTTTTTTTTTTTTTTTCCAGCTGCTGCGTGCAGAAGAGAGGGTCTGCCCACTGCGGCGTTCTGCAGTCTGGCTGTTTCCTGCAGGACGGGTCACCGCAGCCATCGCCGCCTTCTGCACCGTAGCCCAGAACGCTGTTGCCTTTGCTTCTCACAGCCTTTCAGAATCGCGCTCGCCGCAGCAGCCTCCTCGACCATCGCACGGGCAGTCCAGCAGCCGTCGCTCGTCCCGCCTCTGCCCCGGCCACCGCCGCTTCTGATATTCCGGTGAGTCTTAACCTGTGGGAATCAGGTCTGCTGATCCTGGTGGTAGCCACCTTAGGCGTGCACGGTGCTTTGAAGAATGGCCGAGTCAGCCAACCACAAGGAACTGTTAGAATCCAGCCTAGAAGAGGCTAGTGATCAGGTAGTGATGGAGGGGCTGGGGGAGCAGCCAGAGCGCGGCGAAGATGCCTCCGCTGGGCCGGGAGATGGTGGGGAGCACAGCCAAGAAGCTGCTGCTGAGCCTGGGGAAGAGCAAGGAATAGATGCCGCTGCCGCTGCCGCTGCGGGTTCGGCGGAAGGCGGGGAAGATGGTGAAGTGACTACAGAGGACTCAGACCCAGACCGGCCAAAAGGACTTATCGGTTATCTTTTAGATACAGACTTTGTTGAAAGTCTACCCGTGAAAGTTAAGTACCGTGTGCTAGCCCTCAAAAAGCTTCAAACTAGAGCTGCAAATCTAGAATCCAAATTCCTGAGGGAATTTCATGGCATTGAAAGAAAGTTTGCTGAAATGTATCAACCCTTACTGGAAAAAAGACGCCAGATCATTAATGCAATCTATGAACCCACCAAAGAGGAATGTGAGTATAAATCCGACTCCGAGGACTATGATGATGAAGAGATGTACGGCGAGGAAGAGATGTCTGGTGAGGAAGAGGGGCTGGTGCAGGAGTACATGGATGAAAATGATGGTTACGAGGAAGATTATTATGATTATGCCATTGAGGAGGAGGGAGATGACGATGACGACAGTGACAGTGACAGTGACGACGACGACGACGACGACGACGACGACGACGAGGACGACGACACAGAGGCTAGTGCAGAAGAGAATAAAGAAGAGGACCCTAAAGGAATTCCTGATTTTTGGCTGACTGTATTAAAAAATGTCGACACTCTCACTCCTTTAATTAAGAAATATGATGAGCCTATTCTGAAGCTCCTGACTGATATTAAAGTGAAGCTTTCAGATCCTGGTGAGCCTCTCAGTTTCACACTAGAATTTCACTTCAAACCCAATGAATATTTCAAAAATGAGCTGTTGACAAAGACCTATGTGCTGAAGTCCAGGCTGGCCTACTATGATCCCCACCCTTACAGGGGAACTGCGATTGAGTATTGCACAGGCTGTGAGATCGATTGGAATGAAGGAAAGAATGTCACTTTGAAAACCATAAAGAAGAAGCAGAAACACCGAATCTGGGGAACAATCCGAACTGTAACTGAAGATTTTCCCAAGGATTCATTCTTCAATTTCTTCACTCCTCATGGCATCAGCTCAAATGGAAAGGATGAAAACGATGATTTTTTGCTTGGTCATAATTTGCGTACTTACATAATCCCAAGATCAGTATTGTTTTTTTCTGGTGATGCACTTGAGTCTCAGCAGGAGGGGGTAGTTAGAGAAGTTAATGATGCAATTTATGACAAAATTATTTATGATAATTGGATGGCTGCAATTGAGGAGGTTAAAGCCTGTTGCAAAAATCTTGAAGCAATAGTAGAGGACATTGACCGTTAAAGTAGAATCTATGTGAACCTGAAATTAACTGTCTTAGATCTAGTTACTCAAGATATAAGAAGTTAATTACAGTGTTGTGTTCTAAATTTTTCTTGTAGTGTCAGTTAAAACATGTCTCAGAAATATGAGAAGTTCAAATACTAATTCATTTTACCTTGCATTTTGGTAGTAGGATGTTTTCAAGAAATGTAGACTGTGGTAAATGATTTAAGGCATAATTGTGTATTGTTGTGTAGTTTAATCCTCCTAAAACCCTTTGTCATTAAGCTATTAATCTGTGACTGTGAACACTACCAGAACTGCTAACTGAGGTAAACATATTTATTTGCAAAGAAAATTTGAAGAACCAACCATGGTTTTTTGCTGCTGATTTTTGGTGTTTGTGTTTTCTTAGTCTTTTAGCTAATGGGTTTGATTTTTTTGTGCTCACTTTAGTTTACAATAAAAAAATGCAGTACAATTTAAAACTTGAATGCTTAAGAAGTTTGCAAATGATTAAGATTTCAAGCAAAGCCACATTTATTGTTAATAGTAGCCTCTTCATAAGCAGTTGTATTTTATGTGTGTATTTAACTGTGATAAATATGAAAACAGTAATATTAAGGTAATTGTTTATTCATGAAGTGTTAATCACAGTATTTTAAAAATTGTCATAAATTGTTCTGTGTAATTGTGTAAACTGTAATTACAGTGTGTAATTCCTTTTTCCTATAATACATTTAATCATTTACTGGATGTGATCACCTTACCAATTTGAAAAGATTTTTCATGTTCTTTCAGTGCAAAATAAAATGAGTAAAAATTTCAGAGTGTTTCATATTTTAACACTGATCTCTTTTTTCCTGTTATAAAAGTAATATGTTCACTGGATGACATTTGAAAAACACTGAAAATGTATTAATTAATTAAAATCCAAATCCATATACCTACTTCCCAAAAATAAGCACTGTTAATGTTCTATTTTCTACTATTCTTTTTCCATGTGTTTATATATGTGTGAACATTTACTACACTATACTTCCTTGTACAAAGTGTATTTTCTTTTACTCTTGATAACTGATGTAATATTTAACACGAGTCCTCTGTCACTTGCCAGGATTCAGGATTACATAGAAACAAAAATCTCAATCTTACTTAATCCAGCAAACTCGTTTAATAATTTAAACACACATTATAAGTAAAAGACCTCTGTGCTTTTGTCTATATTTTAGATTTACTTATACTTCTACAATATCATCAGAATACAGAGGGGTTTATATTGCTTTACGTAATGGGGAGGGGGCTGTATACTGACTAGGGAAAGTGGGTTTCATCCACCAGACAGCTGCCTTTGTTCCAAAGCTGAGTTTGCATTCCTCTTTTATGGAAACCCCACATTTTGACTTCCCTCTTTAGCAAGAGGGAAGCTCCTGATTCTTCCCATGCCATGCCAGAGCTGAGAACACCTGGGAAGTGCTAACTGCTTTTCCTTGCTGCCGATGCAGTCTTCCATCCAGGTGGCTGTGATGTGATCCTACAGAACTGATGCTCCTCTGGTTGTGACATAGTCTTCCTTAATTAAACATGCTTCCTCCTCCCACAAAGGTAAGTTTAAAACACTGCCTGCTTTTATTTATTTATTTTTAACTTGGTCTCATTTCTTACAATCAACAAGGGAGGAAGTTATCAGCTTTTTCTTTTCTCATCCTGTCTGGACAGAAACCTCATCTAATGTCATCTTTCTCCTAGGAATAATGCTTCCTCCCTCCTGCCTGGGGGTGCACCATTTGATAGACTATAGAGAAATAGAGACAACTTAGTATAATAGTGCGATCTAAATCAGGAAATATTGTCAATGTATAGCTGGTAATTGCAGGCTTTTAAAAAACAGAATTTTTGTTGAATGGAAAGAGAAAGTGGGAACAATTTTGTGGTTGGTTATTTAATAAAACTTATTTATAGGCAGGAGAGACTAGAATAAGGATGAGATTGTAATTGGTAATGAGTGTGTAACCACTGCCCTCCCTGGTGGCGCAACAGGTTAGGATGCAGCACTGCAAGCTAGCCACAGCCACTTCAGCATGAGTTCGATCCCTGGCCCAGGAGGTGACCCACATGGTGCAGCAGACTTTCCTGTCTCACCTGCTGCTCCCCTCTGCAGTGTACTTTGTCAATCTGCCTGTTCTGCTCCCTACTCTGACTCTGGTGAATCCTCTCACTGCCCCTGCATCTTTGGCCTGTACCCCAGTTCTGTATGCATAAATAAACACATCTTTAAAAATGTAAGAGGGTAAGGCCCTCCCTGGTGGTGCAGTGAGTTAAAGCACAGCACTAAGAAGACAAAGCCACTTCCTCATGAGTTCGATTCCTGCCTGCCCTGGAGGTGACCACATGGCGTGGCAGACCTCTCCTGACCAGCCCGCTTCTCCCCTCAGCAGTGTACTTTGTTGATCTGCCTGTTCTCCCCTCTCTGTCTCTGGTGAATCCTCTCACCATCCACATCTCTCTGGCCTGTACCCCAGTTCCATACGAATAAATAAATAAATCTTAAAAAAATTTTTAAGAGGGTGTAACCACTCAGCTAGAACACCAGGGCTGTTTGTTTTTTTTTGTGGGTGGTACAGTGGCCTTCACTGAGGTCTATGGTCAGCTTTCAAAGGTTGGTTTTAAAGTTTTCTCCTCTATATTTCACACATAAGTGACACCATCCAGTATTTATCCTTTCCCTTCTGGATTATTCACTTAGCATAATCCCTTAAAAAGTAAACTTTTTATGGCTGGTTGACATACACACCAAAAAGTGCTCCACTTCATTGACTTGTATATTCAATTCATTCCTCAATTTGGGAATTTCTCAGCTATCTTTTTTTTTTTTAACAAAATCTCTTCCCTTCTTCTCTTCACCTTCTGGTATATGATTATTGTTACACTACCTTTCACATATTACTTCTCTCGCATTTCTACCTGAATCATTTCTAGATTTCTGACTTTGAGCTTGCTTATCCATTCTTCCATTGGTGCTATCCTATTTCCAAAATTTTCTTTGGCACTTAATAAAAGATTTATTTTATTTATTTATACATACAGGAACTGAGGTGTAAACCAGAAGTGCCGGGGGTGGGGTGAGAAAATTCACCAGAGACAGTGGGGAGCAGAACAGGCAGACTGACTGAAATTCACTGCTGAGGGGAGCAGCAGGCAAGGTAGGAGAGGCCTGCTGCACCATGTGGGTCACCTCCCTGGTTGAGGATCGAACTCCTTTTGCAGTGGCTGTGGACAGCTTCATAGTGTTGAGACTTAACCACTTGTACCACCAGGGATGACCTTCTTTGTCATTCTTTTGAAAAAAAGATTTATTTATTTATGCATACAAGAACTGGGGTGGAGGCCAGAGGTGCTATTGCTTTCATTTAATTACATTTTGAGCTTTCTTGTCATTTTTTGAGTTTCCTCATAATAGCTATTATGAATTCTCATGTGTTACATACCACTCTTCCACATGTTTCTTTCTTGAGCATTCTCTCTCTTTTATTTTTGATGCCATAACTTGAAAAGTCATGTTGGATGAAGTTATATTCCTCTGTGCGTTTCCCACATCTACCACCATTTTTGGTTTTATTTTCCTGACACCCTCACCTGCCTTAACTTTGTAATAAATAACCTTTCTTTTATCCCCAATAGGTGGTGCTATGGCTTTAGTGTTCGGTTTCTGCCTTCTACTAAGGTTGTGATGGCCACTACTGTGTCCCTCACCACGTTCGGTACATGCGGTCTGGAGATGATGGGTGTAGCTGCCATATTCCGGTTCTGCAGCTATGTCATTAGGGTTGGGGCTTCAGAGGGACCTAGTGGTTGCCAGGGCAGGAAGGAATTTGACTCTTCTGTTCTTACTACTAATTGTCCCCATCTCTGCCCTGGGTCCTGGGAAATACTCAGTAGTTTGGCACACTCTGAGGGATCACTCCAGTGCTGTGGGGTGAGGGGAAGAGGGAGTTGCAGTGGCTGTGCTTTCTGTGCTGCCCTCCTGCTTGACTCCTGACCCAACAGCTCACCTCTTCTCTGCTACACGGGGGCTCCCTTGGGCTAAGGACATGGGCCTCTGTGGGGCCTCTGCCTTCCCCTCTTTGGAACTTCAAATCAGGCTGGCTGCTCAGTAGTTTCTGTTCGCTCTTGGTCCATTATGTCCGTGGACTCCAATTTATCCACCTTCAGATGTACAAATGCATGGATCTCTCTAGCTTCCTGACACAATGATCCTCACTGCTCTAGAGCTGATTTGTTAGATTGAGATGAAGTAAGGAAAATGCACTGATACTACCATGAAGTTGACTTCACTCCCCCAGAGACATTTTTTGAAAGTTATTTTAATGGATATTGAATTCAAAGTTGACAGTTCTTTTCTTTCAACTCTTAATAACCCTTGTGATGCTTCTATCTGGATTTTATAGTTTTACCTAAGAAATGCACTATAATTACACTGTTCTGCTTCTATGGGTAATGTGTATTTTTCTTATTTTGAAGATTTTTTTTCTTTTCCATTGATTTTTATGAGTCTATCCTGTTTGGGGTTCACATGCTTTTTAAATCTCTAGGCTTGTGAGTTTTTTCTTTTGTAAAATATAAAATTGCAACCATTAGATTTTGGAATTTTTAAGTCTCACAGTCTTTATTATCTCCTGAAATAATAGTTTTTCATAATTATTTGATAGGTCTTTGGGGTTTTCTTTAATTTTTTCATCCATTTTCTTTCTGTTGTTCATAAGGGACAATTTCTCTTGATTTGTGGTCTAGTTTACTGATTCCTTCCTCTCTAGTCTCCATTCTGCTATTGAGCTACTCCAATAAGTTGTCTTTTTAGTTTAGTTATTGTATTTTTCAGATGTGTAATTTCCACTTGGTCTTTTTGTAGTATCTTGTATTGTTTGGGTGAGGTTTTAAATTTTGTTGTTTGTTTCAAGATTGTTCTTAATTACTTGTTGAAGCAAGTTTACTAAGTTGCCTTAAAAATTCTTTTTAAAATACCGGATGGTTTTACTCATAGCAGGAGTAAAGGACCAGGGTAGAAAATAATAAT